TTGAGAGGGGTCTACACTGGCGTGGGAGCTGGTCAGCCAGGCAGGGCTCCGGCCTCAAGTTCCACATGAATCTCAGGATGCAAATGGAGATCCAGGGGCTCTCTGCAGGCACAGGTGCTTTCTGCCTGAAGGAGTGGCATCTGACTCAAATGCCTTCTATGTTCACGGGTTTTTTGCTTTGACCATCATACTTGTGCAAAGAGAGGAAAAAGAAAGCCTAAAATTTGCTGTTAAGCCTCCGTGTTTCATGCCTCTAAGTCAGCTTATTCAGAGAATGAAGGAACGTATATCAAGCCAGGCCAAAAACACCTTCGGCAAGAAAGGGAGATGGAAATTTCAAAGAGTTTATTTTAAACACATTTCTGACTGCATTGGAGTGGAGGTTTACGGTGGAAGTCTCAACATACTCTTAACAGTATTTCTGATATCAGAGAAAGATACAGAACTGAGACAGGCCAGACAGCACCAGTTAAACTTCATTAGGTTCAAACAGTTCCAAATACTGTTTGCAATTTCCACCTTTACCCCCAAGGCTGTCCCATATACTTCTGCAATTCAAGAAACACGTGGAAATATGGAATGAAAATAAGGGTATGGAAAACTTGATTTTCAATTATTTCCATATCGTTTCAGATTACCTACTCTAATAGTTTTGACCTAGCATTTAACTTTTGTCTTGCTGTGTTCTTCATGTAGGTCTTTATTAGTGATGACAGATTTGGTCACTGTTAGAAACAGAAGAACATAACAAGTTAACTGTCCCATAATTTATTTTAAAAAATAAAATATATAAGGCTAAAATACCTTTAAAGATCAAGTGGCAAGGCCAGAAAAACAAATGTAAAAATGAATTATTGAGATTCAAAGTAACAGACACACAGCTTCTCCCAACCTCCTTTTCATCTGAAGTTAATTTCGGCAGGACATCTGCTGTGCTTACCGTGTCTAACATCTCCCGTGTATGTGCAGCTGACACACAAAACCGAGCCCTGGATTCTGTGATAGGAGTAGCTGGAAACCCAACCACAACCACCCCGATATTTTTTTCTAGCATGCGTCTTGCAAAAGCCCTAAGAAGAGAAGAAGAAGAAAAAAACCAAAAGTAAATTATCTCCAATAAACTGACCACAGAGAGAAAACATTCAAGTGTAATAAAACAATGGGTAAAATCCTGTCTTCAATTGAAGTGGATGGTAATATTCCCGTTGAATTCAATAAGAGCCAGAATTTTACCAGTAGGACTGAGATTCTTTGCTGCTTAACAGCTCGTGAAGCCAAGTGGGTGTCAAATACTAGAAGTGTAATGGCAGAGAGCGCATTGTAGAATAGACACGATTCATTTATGTCAGTGAAAGGCTTTGAGTACAAATCAAAATGTGTGGGCATGCACAGTCCCTAAGCTTGGAAGAAGCTGGGCTTCTGGAAGGTATGAGGCCTGGGTTCCTGCACCTGAACAGGCATAAAACAATCTGTGTGATGGTTTCTTTGCTTTCTTTCCATTACTCTGCCAGTTTAGGAACCTTTTGTGTGGTGTGTATTAGATCTAGAGCACATAGCTACCCTAAGCTACTTGCAAATACTCCCTACAGCTCAACTCTTACATTATGCTACTCTGACTTGTGGTCTACATGTCCAAGCCAGTGCACAAGTGCTGCTTGGTACGTACTGAATGGTAAAACATGCAAAGACCGTTCAAAGATCAGATGGGGAAAAAGAACATCCATCCAAAACAATTCATACATCAAAGGCAATGTCTCTCTTTTAATGATTACAAATAATAAAAAAAAATTCCAAATTCAAAATGCTATCAAAGGTATTATTCCAGAGCAATTTAAAAAAGGATAAGAGAAATTTTGAAAATTCTGAATACTGGAACAGCTCAAAATTAAGTCTAGGGCCAAATTTAAAATAGAACAAAACTAAATGATTAATTCACCCAACGGTGCATGTTTCTCTTGTGAAGCATCTACCACACAGAACTACATTTTTCACAGTGTATACCAAATAATCTATGAACTTGAATAGTGTTTGCTTTGCCGACAGGTGTTTTTTTTTGGTACTTACCCTATCTTACCAGGCATATAAAGGAGTAAGGGGACAACAGGAGAATCATCATTGCCATAAATGATGAAGCCCATTTCATGCAGTCTTCGTCTGAAGTATCTTGTGTTTTTCCCCAGCTGGCGTACTCTTTGGAGCCCTGAAATGAGTCAGTCAGGAGAACAGTCAGTGCAAAGATCATAACCGGAGTCTACTAACAGGCAAGAAAGAGGGCGGTGGGTAACAGTTCAAAAAAGTTTGGCTGAAATGTATATGTTGCTGTTTGATTCGTAAGAAAAACATGGAATGAGCAACTACGTTGATTATTACGGCATTGTAGGACAAACGACTCATCTTCCTGTACTTGTAAGGTGCCTTCCCACTGGCAGAAACAGTATGTCTTCTGGGGATAGACAGGTGAACAATTCCCTTTACTGTATTGCGCTGAATAAAGCGTACTGAATGACACACACCTATAGAGTAGTAGTTATATATCTCTGTGGATATAGGACATGTAAATAGAGTATGTTCTTTCTCAAAATAATTCACTATAAAGGGAAACAACCAATGTCTACAGATGTTGATACAGATGCCAGTATATGCATATCTTTTCTCATTAATAATATTCCACAGGGGTCCTCTTATATCTTAGCTAGTTCTGTGCATACATGTTTGGTTTGGGTTTTTTTTTTTATTCTGTGACTGTAATAACACTTAAAGTAGAAAATACTGATTTTGGGTCAGCTCAAACTGATGCTTTTGTTGCAATTTTTTAGAAAGAGGGAAAGCACCTGATAAACTTCATTATTACACAAGGTCTGATCTGCAGTTTGTTACCAACTTTCAGCATAACTCCAGTTACTCTAATATGCACCTACATATGTAATCCCTTGCTGAGTTCTGCTCAGTTTTTCTCTGTCATCTTATCTTGCTATTATTATCTCAATATCATCATGTGACAACAGACTTTAGTCCTTCAAGACATTCAGACACAAGTTTTGTTCTCTGCATCGTCCCTGGCCTCATTCAGTCACGAATCCACTGATGTGTCCCCCAGCAAAACCGACAGGAGAGTTAAAAACAATTATTTTTAATGAAGGAAAAAGACAAAAAACAGCAGAGAAAAAAATGTGCTTGAAAAGTCATCTCAGCCTTTTCTTTTGCAGTGTTACTAGGGAGGTGGTTTCTGACAAGTGCAGTTGCTTCCCACCCATTGCATACAAAAGGGAAGAGCCACACTCAATGATACTGTAGGTAGGAGATATAGTATGTCCTTTCCCCACGACACCTGCATTATATTTCATCAGCAAGCTGATATATACACTGGTCTTCCAATGCTGTAAGGTGCTGACAGGGATGGTGCCACCTACCCCGTACCCACATGCTGCTCTTTCCTGCCGCCTCCCCAGTACCAATCCTAGGTTCACACAGCCACACGATGAACAAAGCCAGGTCCGTCATCTGCCTGACCTCGCCAGAAAGAAAACTGCCAAACCGGTGTCAAACAGATTGATTCTCTAAACCTAATCGCTGTGCAGCTGCTCGTGCCTGCCCAGCAGAGGCGGTGGGAACATGTGGTAAGACTGGGATTTAGTGGGACACATCTCAGCTGCACTCATAACTTGCATTTTCCTGCTGTTCATCAGCCCATACTTTCAATATCACTTACATTATGTCACCAGACATGAACACTGAAGCCTCCAGTACAACTCATTTCCTCTTTTTCCCTTTGCTTTTAAGGTGCTTTTGCACAGATGTATCACGTTTTCACTCTCCATTTACTTTTTAATTTTACTTTTCATTCGCTTCATTCTTCATTTACTGCTTTCTGCTGTCACCCTTCTCTGACTGGATGCCTGTTTCCCGATTTCCCATCTTCCTCCTTGTAACCACAGTGGCCAGTTAGCCATTTGTAGCTGCTGTATACCACCTTCGGCAGATTTGTCCTCAGACCACATTCTGCCCCACCACCTGCTGTGGCTTTTCTTCCTATTCCCTCTTGGCTAAGGTGGGGATCACCACACCTACATAAATGTCTTTTCCATTAATCATTTCTGAGCGCGCATAGGTTTGAACAAGATCTACTGCTTCATCTGTTCTGTATCTTCCCGAGTCAGGGTTCTGTCAATGTTCTGGCTGGGAAATTTATAGGGAAACTGGGACTTGCTTCACAGTGATCAGTGTTTCACTGAACAAATTAAAAGATCTCATAAAACCAGCGCATTTCTAACTTTATGCACAAAACTGCCCACGCAGACAACCTGTTAGTTACAGCTTCAGTCATTCAGTTTAAAGCATTCGGTGGAAGAGATCTGCTGGGTTAGAAAAGGCCACAAATAGTTTAACCATCTCTCTAATGCTGCTAAAACAAAACCAGCTGTGCCAGAGCAAGGAAAACAAATGAAACACAAAAGCATCCTACTACAAAGCTTTCCAGCCACTAATAAAAACAATAGTCTGTGGTATTTCCAAAAATATTTTTGGTGTAGTAGATCTCAAAGAACCAGGAGGAAATATTGAGGAGGAGGAAAAATGGGGGCAGGGGAGATGGCAAGGAAAGGGAGTTAGAGAAGAACCGCAGAATAATGTGTCTGAAGTCTAAAGAGAGACTTTTTCCCTTGTTAGAATTTGTAAAGATGTTATTAGCACCTCCTGAGTGCCCAAATTACAAGGAGGAGGGTGGGGGAGCAACCTGAACTAGGGGCTCAAACCCACTGCTGCTTCTTGCTATCTTAGCAGCCCCTGAGCTAGTTTCCAGACTCTCAGTCTACAGCATTTGAAACTACTAGATTTTCAATTAGGGAAAGTTTTCATAAATGCAGATGTTCTTGGCGACTACAGTTTAAGACTTGCTGCCTTCTCCTTTCTATTCAGCTGTTTACCACAAAGCTGGAAACAAAGTGTCAGCCATGCAAGATTCCAGGCCCTTCGGTATTTGTCAAACTATATGCACATGGCCCAGAGTTGATCAGTTCATCTCTACTTATTTTAGGTACCGGAAATTTAGACTCCAAAGCAAGAGGGGGAATCCAGCAAAGGAAATATTAGAGCTGAAAGAGGAGTTTCCGGCAACGCCCAAAAGTCGAACACCTCTTCCTTTTCCAATCTTCCCTTGCTAAATCTATATCCTCAACCAGTTTGCGATGGGATGGATCCCCTTTCCAGACTCCCTGTGGAACTCATTTCCAGCCAGCCAGCGCTGATGCAAAAGAGCCACTTCAATGTTTTAGCAACATCCCAGAATAGTAATTTCATTTGCAGGGATGCATTAAAGGGCCAACTAAAAGATCAGAGCACTCATATATATCTGGAGGGAAAAAACGCACATTAGGAGATGATTGCTACACACGCTGTATTTGTGGGTGGGTGGCTGGGAGTAACCTATTCCTTTACCAAGTGTCAACACTTTCCTTTCTCATGTTAAGTTTTGTGGTCAAAGACCACATACACACAGCCATCTTATATGCTGTCCTGATAAGAGCAATAAAACCCTTAAAGTTTGTAACTGTATTTCAGTGCTCTTTTTCATTCCTTTATGGGACCCTCCAACATCAGATAAGGAGGCAGATCTGAGCAAAATGTTTATTTTGGTCTCATTGGCCCAATTTTTCCCCCACACTGCAGATTAAATCAGTGTAAGAGTGATGAATTCAGTTTAGAATCAGATCTTAGTCCAAATTCACTGTGGTATTTTTAACCAAAGACACCACATTTAAAAACTATTTTATTTGATTCTTGAGACTGTGATCTTACATCCTTTATTATTTATTGAGTGAAAATCTGCAGAGTCGGACCCTTGAGCTAAAACAATATAGCTGCATCTATTTGAGTGTAAGAATTTACCTACACGGCACTAATTAGAGGATCAGGTCCTTAGACAGTAAATATATTTGTTCAAAAATTCTTAGTTTGCAAAATTCTTGAGGATTTACAGTCTATGCAAATAGCTTATAGCACAGCATGCAGGATATCCAGATAGTTATATTCCATAAAACATGGGAACCACAAGACAGCATACGTTTGCAGAAAAGAGCCTGGACAGGGAAAACTGACCCTTAGCTAATTAAAACTAAGCCCACCAATGCTCCAGAGTTTTCAGCTAAGGTTGAGCATGACCTTATTAAGAGCTCTACATCTTTTTATTAGCTGAATTAAGAAGGGACAGAAAGAGAGAAAACTGAATGATAAAGGATTCTTAAATTTCACAAGTTATCTTCACGCTGTTTGGAACATACAGTGATACACAGCCAGCTTACTGGGATTTTGTTGAAATACAGGATTAATTACCTGGATGGTACAACAAAACCAGATTTACTGCATCTGCAATCCACCTACTGATGGCAAATTTAGAGTTTACATTTGTTGCACCGCTTTCAAAATATTTGGTTTACTGCAAAGTTCTAAGGTGTTGGCACTTCTGTGAAAAATGCTGATTATATTTTTATTTGACACGCATTATTGCGTATTGCCAGTTTTAGCTCATTCATTTCTGCAGGCTTTTAGAGAGCTTTATATCTCAAAATTAATATGGTTTAGTTTAAGAAAAAATACAAAGAGAAGGTGAGAGAGAGAAAAAAAGATAAAAGATAGTGGCTTGCTCGTAATTTCTTTGAAGCAACAAGCTTTTTAAGAGAGCCACTTGGAGTAACAGACTCGGTAGACGCTTTGTCACACGCCAGGCTATGGCTTCAGACCTGCTTTCAGCGAGGAGCTGCTCTGGAGTTTGACAGCAGGAAGGCATCCTGACTACACGTCCGAGGGCCTGATCTCAGGTGGGTGTTACCTGGCACAGCTCCACGCACTTTAATAGAGCTTTGCTATTCATGCCAGCTGAGGACCTTATCCTGGCAGCGAAAGAGGTAGTAAAACTATCAGCTCTCTGAAACAAAAGCTTGTTTTCCTCTTCCAGAGATGTCTGCTTTTCACTACTGCAAGATTTTAATAAGCAGAGAAGCTGGCTGCGTTCAATTCCTGCACAAACATTCTACCTTTGAACTCTTCCTGTAGGCTTCTACCCTTGGAAATTCTGACTCAGTATATTGAGAACAGGAATAAGCAACCTGTAGCCTTTCATATCAAGATCTCAGGTGTATTTTAATTGAAGGAGAGCTATTTTTCCTGAACCCGTTCCAGGAAAGATAATCCCACGCCGTACTTTTT